TCCCACCCCCTCACCCCTAACTCTCACCCTAACCCCTCACTCTCAATCTAACCCCACCCCAACCCTAACCCTCATCCCAAGTGACAACGTCTGTACCTGTCTCCTAAACGTCCTCCTGAGTTGTCACCGGGGCTTCCGATGGAGACAACAAGTGGCCCCCTTTTAACACACATTACACATGCACGGTCATCTGTTGTCACCATCAGGAAATGCACCATCAGGAGCGCATATATATATATGAAGTGGCTGCAAAGAGGCTGCAGGAGATCAGCAGCCCTGAGATGTATCAGTATTTTATTATTTATGACACAGCGCAAATCACACAGCGGCAATGTAACGCGTGTTGGCGTGACGCAGCGCCATCCGTTCTGAATAGCCCCCTCCCCCCCCCGACGCGCCTTGCCAAACAAAACCCGCCACGTGCACCTTTTTAGTTTATTTTCGTGCAATTTAAAGGAAGCGTCTTCCTCGACGCAACGCACGCCACCGGAACGCAGCGCGACACTGCGACCGACCCTCGGGGGTTCACGTCGACACTGATGGATTCGCAGCTGGCAGTCGTCGCATTTGGCGATCAAGTAGCATTGCTGGGGTCGATTGCCAGCTCTTGGGGTTATTATCGATGGCGGGCCCGCCCTCTACCTTTCGCCCCGCCGTCAATTTAACGCAGGTGACGATACCTGGCGACGTCTGCGCGCGGCAGCGGCAGCAGCAGAACAGAAAGTTGGAGCTGTTACATCCGCGTCGGGAGACCTTTGGATCTCATGTGCTGGGACTTGCTGGCCGGGAGGGAGGGCGTGTGCTGCAGGCAGGCAGGGGAGTGGGCGGAGCCAGCCCTGCAATAAGATTAAATGTCTTAGCTGGAGACAGTCCACAGCGACTTCCTAGCGTCCCGCAGACATGGGCACCCACTCCACCAACATGAGGGTCAAGCTCCCCGTCATCTGCCTGCTCCTGCAAGCCGTCACCATCCTCCTCTTCGCCATCTTCGTCCGCTACGACCACGAGACCGACGCCAGCGCGTGGCACAGCCAGAACAAGACCGACGGCGAGAACGATTTTTACTACCGGTACCCAAGTAAGTGCCCGACGCGCCCGACTGCACAGGTGATGGTGGATCTGAAGGAGGTTGTACAATCAGGTTGCATGGAGTGTGTGCGACTTTACACCGGGACGGGATTTACATGGTGTGCGACTTCGGTGTCCCTGTTGGAAGAACTCCTCACCCTAACCCTGACCCCTCCCCCCCAACCCCTCCCCCCCAACCCCTCACTCTAACCCTAA